AGCACATACTCATTACAGTAATTCGTGTCAGTATCCTTGCGTTATTATTAACAAATCGCGATTAGAATTTATATTCATATTGAACTACCACGGAAAGCTAATGGTATCAGAAACAAGGGGTGCACAAAAGGCACTGAAGTAAAGCTAAGAGGAACTATTCTTCACGTCAGTTAGAGATCCCCATGGTCATTTTGCCTACAAGCAAGTAGAGTGCAGCATTTTGGGAAAATATCGTCAATGCAAAACATAGAAATGCTACCATACATTTTCTATCATATGTACGGGACTTACGAGATGCTGCTACCGGTTTCAGTGTCATCTTTTCGGCCTACATGTGGCAGTAAGAGTAATATGGCACGGGACACCCTTCTCCATCTTCTACTGACCTTGGTCCTATCTGAGCACCTCTCACCAAAACGCTCACCTGATTTGCATAATAATGAAGAGATAGCTTATTTTCCGTGCGGACGCCTCGGTTTGAATTACAGTCTGTTTTATGAGAAGGGACGTCTCGTAAAGAAGATTAGGGGTTGATAAAGTTATAATGACACACACACGCACAGCAGAAATAAATAAAAATAAAAACGCATTTTCAAGGTCAACACACTTGACTGGACATATAAACCACCTTTCATAGGTAGAATGAACGAACCGGGTATATTCAAACTGAGCAAAATAATTTTAAGAATTGGTCCATGCATATTTGCATTATATCAAGTTTCTCTCATTTTGAAAATTCTGAGAGAAAATGTTCGGCGCGTTCTTTCATTAAGTCACTTTTAGTAACCTTTAATTGCATATAACTAAGTGAAATACATAAAGAAAATATACAACACGTTGTGTAAAAAAATCAATTCAATTTATTATTCATTACTTAGTATTAACGAATCAATTAGCATCATAATGTGGCCATCTGGTAATCTCTGTAATAAGCCTTACAGCGAAGATTGTCTACTGATGACGTCACGGTGACCTTTTTTTAAACTATCCTTAAAGTACTGCATGGGTATATCAGTTACTTATTTGTGCTAACTGAAAACTAAGAGACCGAGAACCTATCATACTAAATGTGGATTGATCTACCTCTGGGGGGATTCTCGCTAAATTGCCATCGACTTAAGCGGCTTAGATGTCTGTCACATCTACTGAAGCTACTAGGGGGCAATTATCGTTTAACAGCTTCAGTAGGCGTGCAAGACATCTAAGCTGCTTAAGCTGAAAGCTATTTAGCAAGAATTAACCTCGGAGATGGATCAATCCTGTTAGTTTGATTTAAGTATGGGAACCCAGTCTAAAATTGTCCTTTCCTTCCGGATATGTTCCGCAACAGTTGCCAAATACTCAATCAGAATTTCAATTATTTCAGCATTTCTTCTTCTTTCTATCAGTGAGTATAATTTACCAATTTACCAGTATACAATGTACTCACTGATAACTATGAAATACTTCGCAGAAGGGCAGATCAGCCCTTTTGGACATCATTTAATTTTTTGTTCTTTTTAAATTTCATCACCAGATTTAAAAAAATGAATTCATATAAAATATTACTAGTCTTTTTTTCCATTGGTATGTACTGGTACAATTTTGAAACTACTGAAGTTTTCATTGCGCTTTATGCAGCACCGTGGTGTTTAAATCTAGACTTCCAGTGTACAGCACAATAAAAAAAAAAAAAAAATCATACTTAAAATAATTTAAAATTAGCACTTATATGTTGTAATTATTGAATTTGTTCTTTGTAATATAAAAAAATCATTTATCATTTTTTTATTTTTCGGGTGTCTTCAAATTTTCATTCCAAAACACGTAGTATGTTCCTTAATTTTCTTTATTGTCCAAACTTTTGGATAAATTTCTGTTAGAATTGCTTAGAATAAAGTTTAAGCACACTAAGATTAGCATCCTTTTCTTATATTTCTTAGGTGCCACATAAAAATGTTAAAATATTTACCACATATTTAGTAAAAAAATTATTTTTTAAAATCAATGCAAAAGACCCATTGAATTGTTTTAATGTATCTTATTATCTCCATACCTTAATGACAACTTACAAAAAAGGTGCATCTTGGATATGTAAAACACCAGACGTCTCATATCACTGATCAATAAATATATACGTATCTCTGACATCAGACAAAATACTATAATTTCACAGAAATTATTTGACACTGAAGACTGACCTTTAGAGATAATGTTATGTATACAGCACAAAAAAAAAAAAAAACTAATAAGGTTAATTATTAAAAAGAAAATGAACTTTCTTTAAACAAAAACAGTTTTAAAATGCTACACCTACTGTATGTGCCATTATAAGATGCCATACAAAAAGAGTTTCAGTACACTTGTGTCCATTAATAACAGGCAGTGATGGGCCAAGGTTAAAAAAACCCTCTGAACCAGATTTTATTGCAGACCTTGACAAATCTCAGGAACCATCAGAATTGAATTAAAAATCACAGAATTCTGCAGATTTTATGCAGAAAAAGCTCTTGTCTGATAGGTGATAAATCCATGGCCCAATCAGACAGAGCAGTTGTATTCACTGCTGTCTTTGGCAATCCGATTCCTAATCAACTGGGGTACTCTAATTGATAAGATGGGAGATGTATCTCATAAATGTTAAAAAAAATATGTGATTGTCTTGTTGGCACAGCCATAATTAGGTGACTGCTAACAACTGGTTACCCAAGGTAAAAATTTTGTAGCCACTGTTTTTGAATCTGCTGCCAGAACAGTAATATTACCATCAATTTGCTTACATAATGTGCATGCAGATTTATTTATTTGTGTCACAAAGGTGGGGCTTTAAACAAATCTTAACAATATATAATTATTACAATCTATAATACTAAAATATCATTCTACAACAAAACTACTTTGGCTGTGTATTTTTTAAACAGTACTGCACTTTGGACATATTCAGTGAAAAATTCATCTCCATCTCCTTGAGTACAGGAACATACAAATATCAAAAGAAAAAAAAAGCCCGAAGGACAGGCCCACAAACACAAATCAAGATCAGTCTTTGTCAACTCTTATGTTTACAGTTTACATGACGGTGTCTAATTTCTTGTCCTTCAGGCATTTGAGATCTTGCTTTGTGTTCCTCATCAGTTTTAAACTTTTGGAAATATTCCACTAGAGATTCATCAGTGCTGTAGAAAAAGAAAACTTTCTTTTAAGTTTACAGTCTAATTCAAATTCAATGTAAAAAAAGAACTTAAAGAAGCAGTCCAGTTACTAATGACAACTAAGACCTTATTACTATTTCACCAGCCAAAAGAAAAAAATCAATTAAAATTTGACATAAATAGCAAGCTTACATTTTTTAACATACTGATATAGAAGTTCACCATACCCACTTATAATAATCATCACCGAAAAAAAAAAAAAATGAATTTACATCTAATCACTTTGACAAAAATATTTTTTAAAAATCATACTTACTAATAATGTGTATAAACAACATAGTAATAGAAAAGTACAGCTACAATGAGGAAAGACCCCAGGAAGACATAGGCTACAATCTGCACCGAATTGTCCTGGAACATAATACCTAACTTATTATTAATAAAGTAAAATCAAAGGACTAAGACTTCATTCCCATAACCTCATGGTACTAGCAGGATCTATCTATCTCAGCAGGGATTCTCGCTAAGGCGCAGTCAATGTCTTCAGCTTACAGTAACTGTCTGGGATGCCCCCTCACAAAGCAACATGAACAACATCATGGACCACAAATTTTTCATCGACTTTACCCAAGTACTTTAAGTTACAAGGGGCATGCCAGACTTTTAACCCGCTCAAACTGAAAGCAATTTTAGCGAGAATCCCCGAGGAGTTGGGTCGATCCAGCTTGTAAGTTACGGTTATGGGAATGCTCCCTTAGTGTGTTTGTACTTCAATCAAAATTATCGAGTTTATGAAGGTGAAAAACAACACCAGAGAGGGAAGTGTTTTTTATGATGTTACGGCTTTAATTTGGGCTGAGCACAAATGCAACAAATGCAACATAATATCAGCTCTATAACTTGCATATGGAATGATTATAATGATGTGGAAATTTTCTTAAACATTTGGAAAAAAAAATTAAAATACACAATTTTCATTAAAATATTTTTAATGTCAGAAATCTCTTTATATTATCATGGACATACTATTTTTCTTCATATCTAAGGCTTTTCTTACCACCGATTCTTCAGGCAGAGACCAGAATTTTTCACATGTCAGATAAGCACACACATTTTCTGTTAAGCCCTCTGTAACAAATTATAAAAAAAATCTTTTACAGAATAAAAAAAAAAGTTCTTTCACTTGTATGCTTTCATTAAATTGTGCATATGTCTAGAAATTTTGCCAACTGTAGCAAAACTCAACAAAAAGTATAAAGCTGGAGTATATTTTCAAGATAATTCATTTCAAAGAATCATCAGGTTGACTTTAACTGCGACAAGCATATTTTCAACTTGGTTGCTCTGAGCAAAATAGATTGCTTTCAAAAGTGCAAGTAAAAGGATGAAAAACATTATCATACCGTAAAATATTTCAGCGATGGCATCCTTTATTCCAAGGGGAACACACATTTTCATTGCTGCCTGTAAATATATGCAGGGAAAAACTAGCAGATTTCCACATATGATTTCAATACCATACTATTATTTACATTTGATAAATGTATATAAAGTTTCATTCATTAACAGATGATCAATCTTAACTTTAAGTTAACAAAAAATCTTCCTAATCTTACCTTTTACAATTTACAATTGATTTGATTGGCTGTTGTCTTTTACACTGTACAGTTTATTTTTGATATCTTATCAATTCAATTACATTTTATTTCACATCTTCAGTTCATATCTTATTATTTTAACTACCTTTTCATTTATTTTAGTTATCTGATTCTGTTCATTTTACCCATGTGAAGTCTACTGAACATTTTACATATGGATTTTAGACTATAAATAAATATTATTATTATTATTATTTTAATAAAATTTAATCTATCCTCTGACCTTATTTATTGGCCAGTCATTAGTTGATATACCACAAGTTTATAGTTAAGACCCCATTCCCATACCTAGATTGATCTAGCATGATCAACCCATCTCTGAAGGATTTCTAGCTAAATTGCACTCAGTTTAAGTAGCTTAGATGTCTGGCACGCCTACTGAAGCTGCTAAAGGATAGTTAATTACCCCCTTACAGCTTCAGTAGGTGTGCTAGACATCAGAGCCACTCAAACTGAATGCAATTTAGCAAGGAACCCCTCTGAGATGAGTTGGTCCTGCTAGATCGATCTAGGTTTGGGAAAAGGTCTTAGTCAATAAATATAATATATTATCATGACAAGAGCAGCCAACACTTACCTCACACCTGTCATATATAGGAGACCAGTCGCTTGGTTTACACAGAGCTTTGTCCCAGTAGCCTAGCTTTCTAGCACCAGAGATAATATCACATCTAAATATATCACAGTAGTCAGCCAGGCAAGTTCGATCTTTCTCCTATTGCAGAGAATTAAAAAATATTTCTTACCAATATGTCATTGTAGCTCTAATTTCTAATTCATATAATTTAATTTTTTATATATTTACAATTCGTCTCAAATATATAGTTCAGAATATTTCAAAATGAATATTTTCATCTTGTTTATCATCTCTTATTCATATCATAATTGTTTTCTATTTACAGTTCATCTCAAATCTACATTTCAAAATAAATATTTTTACCTTGTATAACAACTCTACTTCCGCACACTCTTATGCACAAGAAAATAAATTCAAATCAATATTTTACAAAACAGCTAGAGCTCTAGAGAGAGTCTCACCTGGCTTACCCCCTCCTTATGCCTATTATCAAAATGCAAATCCAAAAAGTATTCACTGGAAAAAGCTTTTCCACAGTATTCACACACCCATCTGGACGGATATTCAAAAGTCTTGTGCCTCTCCTGTTCTCCATACATGTCTCTAAGCTGGTTAAAGGGACACCCACGCGGCACCTCAAGCATTTTGCCATCTGGGGAGAGGTCTTCGTAAAATGGAAGGATTTGCTGGAAATTTCAAATCGAGATTTTATATGAACTCATCGTATAAACATCCATAAGCAATAAAATTAAATATTCATTAAAATTATCATCATTAAGTGGTTAATATGGCAACCTGTCTGGTAGTTTTAATGTTAGATATATTCTGTAAATTTTTTTATTATTTCATATACCAAACAGCATCAGATGAAGTTTTCCAAAGCTCTTTTGTGAAACAGGCCTTTGGCTTAGAATTATAGAGGCACCTACTTTTTGAAAAATATCTCTAACAATCTTTGACCTTTCCCTTGAACATGATTTTTCTGCGTTTATGTCAACGTCAACTTTCTGGTCTGCTTTTTCACCTCTTTCTACTGGATTTAGGTTATCAAAGCTCTTTCGGAGAGAATTACCACCCTCCAGGAGCTGAAGAAGTAAAAAATATACATGTATATTTATCATCTTTCATATAGTCAACACTAACCATAAATGAGCTAGATTTGTGATACATATATATATACAGTATATAATAGGTAATAGAAGATAGATACTACACATTAAGTACCGGTATATGTGTGTGATTGGCACGAAATACATGTACTGTATTTGCATTCCAAAGGGCGATTTTGATATCTGGAGAACAAACAGATGTTTATTACCTTACTAACATCTCTGTTGATGGGAAAACTGGTTGACTTTACAGGAAAGTGCGAGTTGAGATGAAGGGTAATATATATATACAAACATTTAGGGATCGGCTGGTTCTGCAACAGGTCTTCATTTTAGACTTTTTGAAGCCTTTGCGTTCATGTGGTAGTGCAATGTTCATGTAGATGCCAAAATCGTCAACATGAGTGTTAACGCATGAATTTCGTGCTAGTGTGTGCATATATATGTCTTATCTTCGTCAGTCTAAATAGGGGTGATATTTTTCTTGTATATGTGTATTTGCATTGATCACTACAAAACATCAAACTACTTCTTTTCCCAACGACTAGTAACTGCAATATGAAATTCTCAGTTCCAAGTTCAACTAGTCTAAACTGAACTTCAAGCCAAGCTAAAGGAACCAAAGTATTATATTATAAACCGAATTAAGGAAGATGTTAGAGCGAAAGTTTACAAACACAGCTCTGGAAGAATGATACTCACAAAAGCAAAAATTATTACAAAGATAAATTCAAGTAAATTCATCTTGTGAAGTTAGGATGAAACCAAGCATTTTCTTTCGCAGTTTGTTTGTCCTGTCGACAAAAGAGGGTGTTGAACCAAGATAGCCTTGATTCTAGGTTTTGGTGTGAAAATGCCTTTTGTTTACAAGTAATAAATCAAATAGATCTCAAATCATTTTAGCGAACCAAATGAGTATCTTTTGACGAGTCTGATAAGATCACTTTTACAGTTTTATCATAAAAACATTCCAGCTCCGCTGTGGTTTAACTTGTGATTATCTTGACTGCTTTCACGATAGATGGCTGGCCTTGTAAACAGACCAACGTGGGTGAACTGAGCTCAGAAGTATTTGCAAGAAAACATACTGTCATAATCATCCTACATGTGACGAAGTTGCTGTCTTTATCTTTTGTTGTTAGGTGTAAGTGTGAGTACAACATACATATTGACTATCAATAACCAATTTGACTTGAACACGAAATGCAGAAAGAAAAGCCCCACTAGTCTGCTGTACGTGGGATGGAGGAAAACGGTGTTCATATAAATCTTTGTGGATATAATACCAAGATACAACCAAAGTTCCTCTTCCAGAGCATTCACATTTGAAAAATAAACATTGCAACTAGTGCATGTAAATTGTAATTTGTTTATATCATAGACATTGGTTGTTATATAAAGGGGGGGGGCATTTAAAAAGTATACTGAGTAGTACATGCACTTCACACATTTTGACACAGTCATATGATTTCAGATTTATCATTCTTCAAAGTTTATAGTTTATATATATATTTAAAATAATGATGATAATAATAATAATAATAACAAAGTAAAGATGATTTCTGAGCTTGAAACAAAAAGTAATTAATTATGAGTTAATAGATCTACACAAATGTGCAATGCATGGAGAGTTTACTTTGGTTCTTTTGTACACTGCAGAGTTGTGCAATGTAGAGGTCTGCATTGTAGTCGCTTTTTATGAATATTTGGGTTATTTGTTGCACTAACTTGCCTGGCTTGTTGCATTCCAGGTATTTTGGAAGGTGGGACACCTGGTACAGTGTTAAGGGCTCAACATAACCAGTGTGGTGGACAGTAGACTACCGGCACAGTAGACTGCCATTCACCTTCCACAATGAAGAGGTCCCATGATGGCAAGAACAAAACATCTAAGCACCCAACGGCTGTGCTAGCTGACAAATATTATGAGGATATTCACTTGGAGAAAGTGCTAGTTTGTGATATAAAAAACAAAAAAGACACCACAACACTTATTAGGGAGTTGACATCAGAATTCCCCTTGCCCTCTTTACAACATTTGAAAAGGGTCAGAAAGGCAAAGACACAAGAGGGGTCAAAACTGCAGATTATTCTTTGTTGCTATGACGATAGCTGCTGTGATTCTGGAGGAAAAATTTTATCTCTTTCTGAAATTTGTCAGTCAAGAGACATAAGTGTGGATAGCTTAGGTGAACCTAGCATTACTCAAGTCCCCAAATATCAGCCACTGATAAGGAAACAGTATGAAACGGCAGTGTTACACTGGCCTACAGCTTTTCATGAAGACAAGAAAATAGCCAAAATTCTAAGTGACCAATTGTTTTCACATTCAGAAGTTGACTTAATCCAAAAGTTCATGAAAGAAGCCTTGAAAATGTCACAAATGGGAGAGCAGATGGGGAATGAAAAAGTTGGTGCCATTGTTGTTGATCCATCAACCAATGAGATTATTGCAAAGTCACATGACATTAGATCCCAGCATCCTTTGCAGCATGCAGTGATGGTATGCATTGACTTGGTTGGTAAGGCTCAAGGTGGGGGTGCTTGGAAATATGACAGCAGCCCTGCCTTGTTTGCAATATCTTCAAGTAAACTTGGAAATGGGACCAAAACAATCGAGGAGATGAAAGATAAGGTAACTGAAGACAAGGCAAAGACTAGACCAGATGAAGGAGACACAAAAATTAGTACGAGTTCAAAAGAGAAGAAAAGTCAAAATGAAGAAAAGAAACCTGTTTTACATCTTGATAATGACGTAAAAAATGAAGCAGACATACAAAATACATCTGAAGATGAAATAACCAGAAGGCAAGAAAAGGTTGTTACATTCATTAAAAATGACACAGAAACTAAAGACAAGGCCACAGAAAATAAAGAAAAGACTGCACCATATTTATGCACAGGTTATGATTTGTATGTTACAAGAGAGCCATGTGTTATGTGTTCTATGGCACTGGTCCATTCAAGAATTAGTAGAGTGTTTTATAATACTGCATCAGAATCTGGAGCTCTGGGAACCAAGTACAAGATTCATGTTCAGAAAGGTTTAAATCATCATTTTGAAGTTTATAAAGATATATTACCCATTGATCTTTAAAGTACGATATTAATTTTATTATTATTTATGTGATAAAATTGAAAGAAACAAATTGAGAACAGTTCACCTTCAGTATTCATAATTGTAAGGCCAGTGAAAAGTTTATTAAATAGAAAAGACACATGTTTTATTGCATGCATGCTCATTCTGTAATTATAAATGGTACTAACATAAAGTGTTGGGGTAGGGGTGGGGTGTAAGCTTTGTGGACCCTTTTCATATCTAGCAGTAGTTTTCTGACTGGTCCTAACATGTAATTATGCTGGAGGGGAGGGGGGGGGGGAGGTTACTTTCTTTAACAAAACCCAGTCTATCCATTAAAGTTAATGTGGTTAACTTGCAGGTTTGAGTGTGGGGGCTCTGTTTAGACTCTGTTTATGTAATAGTGGTGCTATTCCATTGCTAATCTCTCATATACTAGTTCAATACAGGAAACTGTATCACTTGTATTTGTCAGAGGGGCATTTTCAGACCAAAGGGTGACACATCTGATACTTCAAAGTGTGTACTGATATACATCTTGAAAACTGGTAGTGTGATCTGATATACGGCGATTTCAGGATCCTTCTGTGCCACGTCAGGTAGTTGGGTAGGCCTGATACCACAGGGCCTCTTCTTCAATTTTGTAAACTTTTTTAGAGGTCCCTGTGATATCAGAGGGTAAAAAGAAACTTGGGACTTGTGAAAATACCAGGAGTCTGCTTCATCCATGGATTACCTTAATTATTGCATTTTTAGATGACAAACTTAAATAAATTTAATTAAAAGTTCTTTTTACCCCAAGTTCTGACTGATGAATGTTTTAAAAATAAGTTCAAAAGAAAGAGATTCACTCAACTGTGTATAATGGGTTGTTTTATGTCCTGCATAATGGACATTTGTCTTAAATCCTTCCATTGCATATCGTTATGTTAATGTCCATTTCAACCGTTGCTAACCACTTAACAATACCTATGATTAGTTTTGAAAATTACCATTTACATTTTATCCTTTTAAATGCGTCTGTACACTGAGCTTTCACCATCTGTGGTAGGTTCATTTTCTGAATGTCCATGTTACCAGTACTGTACCCTGTAGTACAAAATTAGAAATTGGTAGTTATTATGCAGTTTTAAAAGCATTATGTAATATTACACAAGTATTGACAAAATTATTATTTTGTGCATTGTGACTGTAAACACCATAACTAACAAGTATGATTTTTATGATAATGACTATAAAATAAAGGCCATGTTTAAGTAGCAACTTTATTGGACCATTCTTTTGAAATTATGCATCTTTTTGTGAATTTTTCATTTTTGCCAGACATTTTCATGTTGTAACATCAGTGGACCCAAGACCTTATGCTAGTAAAATTTTCTAAATTTCCACATTAACGGTAGCAGTCTGTGTAGCGTTATGTACGTCATATTATTTTGTGTACTGTCATCGCTATTTTCTGTACATTTGACAGCTTTGCCGCCTTGTTTGCAATGTAAGTCCATGTTCATTTAAACAAAGCCTTTAATACCAGGAATCTGTTAACATTTTTTTCATGAAAATATCAACCAAAAGACCAATTTTGACATATTTTCTGTCTGTAATGTTAGCAAAATTAGGCTATATACCAGTAAAATTGAAGCCGGTCCAGTATTTATATTAATTCAGTAACTGCATGGTCACTTCCTGTTTTTGGCCAGTAGATTCTGGTGCACCAAAGTGTCAGTAAGATTAAAAGCTTTTAGTGCATGACTGATGGCATTTCTTAAAGTTTCTTGAAAATGATCTTAAAAAGCTGCTGCACATATTTCACCACCAGAAATATGAAGCCATGGGCAGACATTATATTTGCACTATGTTGGTACTTAGCCAGTGAAAAAACTGACAGTACCATTCTAAAAATGTCCTTATATACACCAAAAAGTCTAATGGGCCTGTAGCCCTTTTGATCCACATCCATAAATACCTTGCAACTTGTGAATGAAGGAATACTGGTTTTCTCCTCCACTGTGAGCATTCCATTCACTTAAATGAACATTTGCATCACTAATCAAGTATAGTTATCCGATTACAGGCTTCAGTTAACTTTTGTGGTTTCGAGGTCTGTTTGAATTTTTTACCTCACCTGGTTCAAGGATTTCTCACCATCTGTGACAATTAAGGACTCTGCAGGTTGCCATCTAAGGTAAAGGCACCATGGCCAGTGAGGAAATGATTATATTTATATTCCTAGAATATGCCAACCATGTGTCAAGTCATATGAGCCTGCTTTTGTACCAAAATGGCACCATGGCCAGTGAGGAAATGATTATATTTATATTCCTAGAATATGCCAACCATGTGTAAAGTCATATGAGCCTGCTTTTGTACCAAAATGGCACCATGGCCAGTGAGGAAATGATTATATTTATATTCCTAGAATATGCCAACCATGTGTAAAGTCATATGAGCCTGCTTTTGTACCAAAATGGCACCATGGCCAGTGAGGAAATGATTNAAAAACCCCCCTTTTTGCTGGAAAAAGGCCCTCTGGGTAAAATTTGACCTAGGTAAATGGGGATTATATGGTAAAAGGTCCACTTTTTCAGAAAAAGACCCCTCTCCCCCCTTTGAAATTGCTGGCTACGGGCCTGCATCAGTTGACTAAAAAACTACCTGATCATCACATATGAGAGAACCCCCAGTGGTACAGGGTTTGGTTCTCATGGCTTTGTACAGGAGAGTCCAGCCTTAGATTTTGATCCACTGACATCACCCTAACTCTAAACTACTGGCTACTGGCCTAGCTGCTTTGTCACTTGGATTCCTTATTTTAACAGTTTACTTTGGTGACTTACTGCCAGTTGAGACTACCCAGTCAGATTGTTCAGTGAAATTGAACTTAATCAAGAACACAGCTATTATTATTATAAAAAAATTCATGTAAAATGGGTCTTCCCTCTGTAAAAAAGAAAATAACAATAATAATAATGATAATTAAATAGAAGTCAACATAATTTTCAATCTTCTTTACTCTATTAATTGTAACACCTTTCTCATCATTTTAATTTTTCTGACAATTATCATCATCATCATCATCATATTCTTAACTCATCATTAATACAGTACCAAGGCAATACAAAATTAATAATATAAGAGAAATCTTGATTTTCCTTCATATAAATATTTTCTAACTTCATATATTAAATTTTTGTTAGTAACTGGGACTCATATCCTATGCATATTATTGGTCAACTTAATCAAAGCAATTCAAACCTTTCCAAACTTCAATGACATTCAGAGCATTTAGAAAAAGATTGGAAAGGATTGGTGTACAATTAATCAAAGGCTTCGTTCACATGAAAAATCTATTTGCTAAAAATCTATTTTCTATTCGCGGTATCTTGTGATCATGGTCTGTGCCCTGAATACCCCGCAGCGTAATTACTGGCAGCGCGAGCCAGTTACTTCCAAAGCTGTAATTAATTCTGCGCTCGGAGTGATCACAAGATACTGCGAATAGAAAATAGATTTTTAGAAAATAGATTTTTCATGTGAACGGAGTCAAATACAAGCACCTGTTCTTTCCCTGTGCAATATGTTTTTGCACATTAGATACTTTACACATTAAACTTGTAATGAATATAGATTGCAGTATCATAATTGTCACAAAAATGTTCATAATACATGACATACATATATGTTACAAAGAGAAAGGTTGCCATTTATCCATTTTACGTTGTGAGGTGCACGTCCCTGTTTCACATCATTTTGAGAGATTTTCAACCTATAAGTCTGGTGTAAAAAATCTAAATGCATGGAGCCCCCTTACTTAATATGGCTGTTTACCTTGGTTAATTTTGATTGGTCCAAACAGTAGGAAGTGAAAGGGAAAACGCCCCCCCCCCCTCCTCCCCACCTCCCAGAGTAATTATACATGTAAGGACCAGTCAAAAAAAAAAAAAATTTGGGGGGGGCACAAAGCAAGTAACCCACAATGTAAAATTAGGGTCCCAAGTCTTAAAGCCCAGTCTTACTTGCTGAACATTTAACCAAACGACTAGTACTGTAATATGACAACCTAAAGCAGTTAAATTTAATCTGTGCAGAAATACAGGTGTATTATATACACTGTACCAATATGATAAATTTTGCTGTATGTACCATGGTGTACTTCTATTGTTTGCACTTATTATAAATAGCAATTACTGCCACCATAGATCTGACTGAAAATATCTTTATAGTCTTGTTGGACACATGACAAATTCAAGTAAAATAATGCTGGAAACACAGATGTTGAAGTTGGTTACCCTGCAAATTTGCCTATTAGAAAATAAAGATTAATTAATTATCAAAATTATAAACAACACCCAATCAGGTTGAGGACCTTAGTTACGGCATGCTCCACGCAACATGATTTAAAATTATCTATCACACTATTATATAACCAGCTCAATATAATGCTTTTCACAACCCAATGCCAGAAGTAGATCACAATGAAGGGCAACACCCATATTAGCATGACAGCAAATAATTAAGTCATAAGGCAGTTTGCACATATTATTCATCAACAAGATTCCGACAAACACTGGTTTATCAAATGCAATATCTACTGGCTCAATAATGGCTCTTATGTATGCATAGACTAAATGCCTCATCTTCCCTAAGCTTTTGATTATCATATATTGCATTCTGATTATTATAATGCCTGTTTCTGCTCATCTCATTGCATTTTTCTTTTTATTTGTTGTATACCAATAAAACAAAACTGTGTGTTTAGATTATTGTTTTTCTTTTTATCAAGAGCTTATAAAATATGTGGGTATTACCTCCAATATTTATGTGACTGTCAGTCACCATCATCAGGGAGTAAATGACTAGGGTCATTTTACAAGCTCTTGATAAAAAGAAAAAACAATAATCTAAATTGATACATACAGAGCAAATGAAACTGTTCTCTCAAAACTGTGTGTGTGTGTGTGTGTGTGTGTGTGTGTGTGTGAGAGAGAGAGAGAGAGAGAGAGAGAGAGTCCATTCACACACACAGAAAGAGAGAGAGCTAGAGGTCCATACA